TTCTAAATGCAAAACATGTGAACCTTTTCAGAGCTCCGATCCAAATGAGTGCAGCGGTTTTCTTTTTGTAGGGCAAGAAGACAGAAGAGTTCTACTCTGTGGTGACTACAGACTAGAGGAATTCTCTAGTGAGTTTCCACTTAACCGTAGTACCTGCTCGGCCAGCCAGGGGGCCCTTTCCCCGTTACCGGCTAAAAGCCTCTCTCCTTTCTTGTGTCCCGGCAGGTGCAGCAGGTCCAGGTGTTTGCTGACGTGCAGTGTACGGTCAACCTGGTGGGGGGAGACCCTTACCTGAACCAACCAGGCCCAGTGGGCTCGCAGAAGAGCTCGGCGGGCCCCCAGACCCCACAAGCCCAGCAGAAAAGCCTCCTTCAGCAGCTACTGACTGAATAACCCGCTTTTCAAAGGAATGTGAAATTTAAATAATAAGACATACAGAGATATATAAATATATATATATTATATATTTTTCTGAGATTTTTGATATCTCAAACTTGCAGCCATTCTTCAGCTCTCGTAGTGTTTGGAGCAAAAAAAAAAAGTTTTTCTCTCCCCTCCCCCTTTTTTTTAAAGTGTTGGATGTCAGCGAAGTGACAAGACAGAACTTTTGAGCCAAAATGATAGATGATCCTTATTTTTGTAATCAGTTGCTGGCTTCTTATCCCAGATGGCAGGAATGTGCGAAAGGGGGTTCCCAGAGTGAGGGCAGGCGTGGGGGGTTGGGGGGGAAGAGGAGGATCCGAGTTCTCAGTTTCAGCTGGATCTGTCACTGATCTGTGTCTTCAATGAAGCAGGAATTGGGGGGGATAATGGCACTTGTCTCTACTCTGAGAAGGAATGTTTTTAGCTGTTCTTTAAAAAAGTACACCCTCACCCGCTGCGCCCCCCAGATATGTTTGTGCAATCAGCTTTTTCTAGCACTTGTGAGTATGTCGGTTTTAAAGAAAAATAATAATAATAATAATAACAGAGTATTTTGACCCACCATTTTTTCCATGTTTTATGCTGGTATATAGAATGCCTCCTTAGTGAGAAAGAGGCCCTCTGTGTATATGACAACTAGGTGGGAGGGAACATACAAAAAAACCCTAATATAATAATTTTTGAAAACAGAAAACAAAGTACCGTTTGGGGGATAATTGCAATATTTTTAAAGGGGAAAGGAAGAGGCGGCTCTGGGAGCAATCCCCCCCATGTGCCACTGCTGTGATTATCCCCTTCATTTCCACGCGATCTGTGGGAGCAGGGGTCTGCCCTGAAGTGACCCCCACAGGCCTCGTCAAAATGAAAAGGAGGATGCACAGCAGACACCTGTGGCGAGTCGCACCCTCTGTCAGATATTGTAGATAAACATTTTTCTGATTAAAATTAAGCAGTCAGTTCTCTCTGCTTTGATTGTGTTTAACAGCTAAAGGTAGCTTGAAACTATTTAAAATAATATTGATGATGATGATTATAATAAAAAGGCGATTCTCTGTGAATGGGAGACAAGCTTATTCTTTGCCCCCTCGAACCTTTCATTGTAAATAGCTCAAAACCTCTTGTATAAATTGGTTTCTTTCTCTTTTTAGTTGAGGATTGCACTTAAAATAGCATTGCTTTTGGGGGGAGGGTATTTCTTTCCTCTTCCTCTTTCTGAAATTTTGTTGATGTGTGAAAACAAACTGTGTAGCTTTTGTTAAATGAATTTGCAAGAGTTTAAAAAAACAAAGAGACAAAGTTGACGGCTACCGTTGCATTATTGCTTGAGAGGGCAACGGGGGGGGGGTTACATGGGCTTGAGGAGGCGCATCCTCACTGGGAGGGGGCTGGGGAATGAGAGTGGGTGCTGTCAGGACCAATGTTCCCTCTAAGCTTTGGAGTCTTGTGAGCAAAACTTGTGCTTTGTGAGCGACTGGCATTAAAGCTGTGAGTGAGCGATTTGGCGACTGCATCAATTAGCTTGCTCCCCTTCCTGAGCTCAGAAAAACATCTGTGAGCTGGGGACTAAAAAACCATGAGCTAGCTCACACCAACTCAGCTTAGAGGGAACACTGGTCAGGACCCTGACCCAGGTAGCCCAGACTAGCCCAATCGTGGAAGCCAAGCGAGGTCAGCTCTGGTTAGCATTTGGCCTGGGAGGGAATAACGGACCACCTCTGATGTCCCTTCTCTTGAGAACCCTTGATGGCACTTTCCACCACACAACGATCTCCACTAAGAGGATGTTCAAGGCCACCCTAAACAGCTGACACCCAGGCCAGCATCCTCGAGTTCTCTCGCAAGTATTTCATAGGCCTTCGAATGTTGTTAAAGCCCAGGGCAGAGAGAGCAGAGGGGGTAAGCCTTGGCTGGAGTCTGAACCAAGCAGCAAGCACCATTCCCCTCCCCACACACACCTCTACCCTGATTACAAAATACGGATAGGTCCTACAGAAGCCAGGTTCCCCTTTCAAAGCTGTATAGAATCAGCACGGACATGAAAGGAAGTAAAACTTCACTGTGCTGGTAGATATGGGAAAACCCACATTCAGCAGAACACCGACTACCTAGGGCTTGGGTCACTGCTCAGTTTCACGGAGAGGTCAGCTCCTAGACAGCCCCCCACTTAGAAAGAGCATTTGTCACCTCTGACCGTGGCATTCATTCAAGATAATAACAGACACCCCAGCCTTCACCAGAAATATCAGAGGGGAGGAAGCGTAGCACTAGTGTTTGGTCTCAAACTTTGCTATGCCAAGCCTCTCCCTAGCTGATTGGTAGTCCCCAAACAGCCATTTCAGGTGTCTGAGGAATAACACAGCAGCCATCGAAACCATGGCTAAGGAGCTGTCATGTGTACCACACACAGCCAGAGTAAAATCTCAGTTCTGTTTCTGCACCCTTGGTTGCTACAGCACACGGCAAATATTATGACCACTTTACTTCACAAGTGTGCAGCCAGGTGGCAAGTGAGTGCTGGATCTTCACAGTAAAGCTCCCTGCTCCTTTTGGCGGGAACACAAGAGAGTATTTTAAGGGAATTACCTTTCTTTTAGGTCATGAAGGTAAAAAATGGTCAGCTGCCCTTTGGCGTTCCAGAGACAAGGTTTTCTACTTCAGAACTACCGGACACGCTTGGATACTTTCCTCCCCCCTTTCTGGGGAGTCATGAGACAAGAAGCTTCTGGGGGGCCATCGAATGGGAGCAACAGATGCAGAAAGCAGAAACCTGAAGGCCCGCTGAAAGGCTGCTTCCTGGCTAGGTGGACTTATTCTGTGAGAAACGCCTTGTTTTCAGTCCTGTTCCTCTGCTACTGCCTGAGCTCCTCCCTCCTTCCCATGGACTGTTCTGCTTTATGCCCTTTCTTTACTTAGCCCCTAAAAATTATTCTCTGCAAAATTCAGGACTGAATTTTAACACCACACCGCACAAGACTAGAACCTCCGTATCAAAAGCGGTGTATGAATTTCACTTACTGGGTGGGTGGGACGTAACAGTGAGTGGGTATCGCCTTCATGCCCTATTTTTGGTCTTCTGCGGTGGTCAAGTTTTATTCTCGCCATCCATAAAACACCTGCAAAAAGATCCAGAGGGCCATGGCCACTCCTTCGAGCTCCGTGGCACCATCTCTGTACGAGTCTCTTTCTCCCAATCCACCTGTACCAGCTGCAGTACAAAATGTACACTGACAAGCCGGGGGACCCACAAATACTTGCCGGTGCTTCACTTGTCTTGCTCCACCTGGCTTTGCTTCTCCCCACCCCAAGCAGGCACATGTTCATTTTTTCCTCTGGCCACCTTATATTTTCTTCCCTTCCTTTCCTCTTGTCCAAATTCACCCATTGACTCTTTCCTCACCCTCCCTGACCTTATGTATTTGCTCCCTACCATAGTCCACAAAGTCACCATCCCTCCCTGTCCTCTCTTCACTCCTCCTTCTCACCTGTACTTAATTTTTCTTTTAATCTTCTGGCTTTTTCTGAAGATCTGAGGTTGCAGAAAACATCATCTTAACCCTGGGTACCTCCTCCCCCCCCCCCCCCCCCCCCCTCCAGGTAAAATTAAGTATCGAGTGTTTGGTTTGATTGCATGGAGGGGCCACCCACTGCTACGAAATGCATGACAGAGCTCACATAAGGAGTTACCACAAGCAGAGTTTTTTGTGTGTTGGGAACAAAGGTGCTATGCACTTTGCAGTGAAAAGCAAAAGACACTGAGCTCCCTAGCCAGTCTTACCTGGCAACAAAACTCTTCTTAACAATGTGATATGTCTGTCAGATCTTAACCAAATCCCAAAGGGAATATTATGTACAACCACATGCCACCAAGGACTCTGCCTCTAGGCTGTTGTTTGCGCCACTAGCACATGAATGCCTCAGCCATACACCAAATGTGGATATGCACATTTTTAATTCCCCCTAGCGCAACACTTTGGGTGACAGAATATCGTAGCCAGCAACATGCAGTAACATTGTGGTTCTCCAAGCAGTTCTCATGCCTCCCAGTGATCCTGCTGCGCCTCAGAGTTCCAGAGAAAAGGTGTCTCTCCTAGTCAAACCTGTACAATGGCCAAAGGAAAGGACGATCATTTCAGCAGTTTGAATTTCTTCAGGTGACGGTGCACGTCTTCCTTAGGGTAGGGGCGGAGGGCAATGCAAGTGGGAATGTCTTCAGGCTGTTCTGTCCACACTTTATGATCGATGCCATTTTGCTGTAGGGTCTCTGCTAATGCCGTCAGAGCACTCTCATCTGGTGCCTTTCAAATGGAGGGGGGAGAGAATCAGACTGCATTCCAAGCAAACACCAGTGAACAAGTTCTAACAGTGAACACTTACATGAAATCACAGCCAAAAGGTGTGGAGAGCAGACTGCTTCCACTTTTGTCAGCCAGAATGCACAAGAACCATAAAATATCTGAGATTTACTCGGGTCACTTCGTAGAAAAAGAGGTGCAGGAGCTCATTAGCATAACTCATTAGCATAACTTATTTGCATATGACACACACCCCTGACATCACCGGAAGTGTGTCAGAAGGCAACACCCACCGCTCAGGCTCCACTGGACTCTTGGATTGCTAGCTATTGGGGGGGAGGGCACGTACGGATCTGCCCTCGCAGAGGAGGGAGAGCTTGTACCTGAATAAAACTTGGTCTTAAAGGTGCCACTGGACTGTTTTGGGCCGGGGGGGGCGGGGCTCTGCAACTTACCTGGCTGCTTCTTGCTCTGACTGAGGGCTGCTGGGAGCAAGGGGTGGGGCTTGTTGCATGTGCCCGCCCCCTGGGCTCTTTACTGCTGGAGCTTCGCTCCTGTGCGCTCCTGCAGGAAATGATCCCCGGATTTACTCAGATCTCTTCTGCAGCCGTGTTATCAGAGCTGAACTAAATCTATTGAGTGGGATCATTCCAGCCCTATGGGAGACATCTAATCACTCACAGCTGTAAGATTCCAACTTCCAGGTGAGGCCTGGACTTTTCCCAGAATTACAACTGAACATCAGATGACAGATCCGTTCCCCTGGAGAAAATGGCCACTCTGGAGAGCAAACTCTGATATTATTGCTATTGATTTTAATCTGAAATTCTGTACTGTTTTTAACCTGTTGTAAATCACACAGAGCCTTCTGTACTCAGGGATTGGGCGATCCAGAAATTTAATTAATAATAACAATAATAATAATTATACCCTGCTCAGGTCCCTCCTGTCCCCAAGCCCTGCCCTCCTCAGGCTGCACCCCCAAATCTCCAGGGATTTCCCTGGCAATCCTATGTAGCTGAGCACTTGTGGGGCTCCTGTGGCTCCCAGCTTCCTTGTAACACAGGCAGAAATTCTGGGGCAGGGAAGGAAGAATGATAGAGTTGCTTAGCAACCAGAGGCAAGTCATCTTCTGGAGTTACAAAGAAGGATGTGGGGGGGGGAGAGAACAATCTCTCCATATATTAAGATGGGTAGCCATATCAGTCTGTCTGTAGCAGTAGAAAAGAGTCCAGTAGCACCTTAAAGACTTAAAATTTGTGGTAGGGTATTAGCTTTCGTGAGTCACTGCTCACTGTATCTGAAGAAGCGAGGAGTGACTCACAAGAGCTCATACTCTACCACAAATGCTGTTAGTCTTCCAGGTGCTTCTGACGCTTTTCTACTGTTTCCATATATTAAGTTTGGCTTTCCCTTGGATGTTACAACAGAGATACACCACTTGTACCGGGTTTTGTACATACAGCTCCGAGTCTGCATTTTATATATGGTTGTGAGAATATAGTAGTTCAAATTTTACTTTGTCGATTCTCCATAAATGTTCAAATGAGCACATGCTTTGCATTCAAAGCTTCAGGTTCACTCCTGGATGAAAAGGCCTGAGCCCTTGGAGAGCCACTCTAAGTCAGAGGTAGAAAGAACAGAGTAAAAGCAGCCAATGCCCTGACAATGCCTTTATGTGCTGATGGTCCGTAGCCCATAGCAGAGTTCACCGTTTGCATGCTAAAGGTACCATAGTCAACCTCCCATTTAAAAGGAGCTCAAATAGCAGAGGGGGGGGCACACAGGCTCTAGGGCAGCTACAGGCAGGGCAGACACAGCAGACAATAGCCAGGCCCATTTGTCTCCACAGTAACCAGGCAACCGGGAGAAGCCCCGCCTCCTAGCGCAGCGAACCCCGCCTATCGGATGGCGGCATTCTAATGCGACGCTGCCTGCAGTCTTTTTTTCTCCCCGGCCTTACCTCCAGCACGACGGTTCTCATGCTGCCGCCCTGAGCCAAGTAGGTGCCGGTGTCAGGATGATCGTAGTAAGCATGCGTCACTGCCAGGGCGGCGTGACAGGCCTGAGCTAC